CTGTAAAATAACTCGACTGTATCAGGTAGAGTCATTGGAGCGCAGCTGTGCAGAGTCAGCGATTTACTTTGTTTTACAAGGATTATTTTTATGTGATTATGTTACGAACAAAAGCCTGACCTTATTTTAGACAGGACATCTGATTAATACTGAATAGATTGGAAGTAACAAATGGAAAATCTCATAGTTATAAGATGAGAAACTGCAATTTATGAAAAAAGAGACTGTGTGATAGATCATAATCTGTTCCAAGTCTCTTACAGGACGAACATAAATCTTAAATGTGTGAGTTTTACTGTCTTCTTACTCTTTCACAACTTTCCCCTCAATTATGTTCCTCATATTTTATTTGGACCTCTTAGTATTAGCGTGTAGCGTTGAGGAGCCGGAGTTCAGACTGTCTTGTCTCTTTCTTGGCAAATGCATTACACTCTTTCGGTGGGGCATTGGGGGGGGGAATGAGAACGTAAAGAACCAGAAATGATTTAAAAGGTGCTGGATTAATTACAAGATATTATCACATGTGTTTCTTTTTTTATATATATCACGGTTACTGTCAACATAACGCCATAAAGTATGACGAAATAATTTCCAAACTTTGCATGATATTTTCGCGCTAACCAGCAAATGTTCAAGTTCAAGGTTCAAGGTTCTTTATTGTCAATCTGACATAGCTACAGAGTAATTATGCAGTTGAAAATCTTATGTCACAGGCTTCTCCAACAATGCAACATAATAACATAACATAATAACAATAAGAGCAAGAGCAATACAAAAATAATAATAGTTATAAAAATGAAATAAAGTTATGATGTGGAATAGTGCAGTATGAGTCTATATACAAGTTATTGGAATGATATATATATATTAGGTATTAGATACATACTACTGAGTAGCAGTTGAATGTTTGATGTTGTTTCAACAGTTCAATTGTTTAACAGTCTCACTGCCCGCGGGAAGAAACTGTCTCCAAATCTTCTTGTCCTTGCCCGGATGCTGCGGTAACGTCTGCCAGACGGCAACAGAAAGAACAGTTTGTGGCTGGGGTGATGGGGGTCTTTGATAATCCGTAGTGATTTCTTCCTGAGCCGCTGGGAGTAAAGGTCCTCCATGGATGGCAGCTCCGTCCTGGTGATGTGCTGTGCAGTTTTCACCACCCTCTGTAAAGCCTTACGATCGAGGTCGGTGCAGCTGCCGTACCAGGCCGTCATGCTGCCAGTGAGGATACTCTCTATCGTGCACCTGTAGAAGTTGCAGAGTATCCTGGAATCCATTTTGAACCTCCTCAGCCTGCGGAGGAAGAAGAGCCGCTGTCGAGCTTTCTTGGTGATGGTGGTGGTGTGAAGAGACCATGTCAGGTCCTCAGTGATGTGGACCCCAAGGAACCTGAAGCTTTTGACTCTCTCCACCGTAGTCCCATTGATGGCGATGGGGGCGTGTCCCTCTCCCTGCTGCTTCCTGTAGTCCACAATCAGCTCCTTTGTTTTGCTGATGTTGAGATGGAGGTTGTTATCCTGGCACCAAGATGTCAGGTTTTCGACCTCCTCTCTGTACGCCGTCTCGTCATCGTCTGTGATCTGGCCGATGACGGTCGTGTCATCAGCAAACTTCACGATGGTGTTGGAGCTGTGTGTGGCCACGCAGTCGTGGGTGAACAGGGAGTAGAGGAGAGGGCTGAGCACGCAGCCTTGAGGGGCACCGGTGTTAAGAATCAGGGTGGAGGATGTGATGTTTCCCACCCGCACTGCCTGGGGTCTGCCCGTCAGGAAGTTCAGGATCCAGTCGCAGAGGGCGCTGTTGAGCCCGAGGTCTCTGAGCTTGATGGCCAGCTTGGAGGGCACAATGGTGTTGAATGCTGAACTGTAGTCAATGAACAGCATTCTCACATATGTGTTCCTGTTCTTCGGGTCCAGGTGTGAGAGGGCAGTGTGGAGGGTGAGGGCTATGGCGTCGTCTGTGGACCTGTTTGCTCTGTAGGCAAACTGCAGGGGGTCCAGAGATTCAGGGAGGGAGGAGGTGATGAATAATTTGACTAACCGCTCAAAGCACTTCATTATGATGGAGGTGAGTGCTACTGGGCGGTAGTCGTTGGGGCAGGTGATGATTGTCTTTTTGGGGACAGGAATGATGGTGGAGTGTTTAAGACATGTGGGGACTACAGACTGCAGCAGGGACCTGTTGAAGATGTCTGTGAACACCTCTGCCAGCTGAACTGCACACACCCTGAGAACACGGCCAGGGATGCCATCAGGTCCAGGAGCCTTGTGTGGGTTAACCCTTTTAAAGGATTTACACACATCTGCCCTATTTAAAACAAAAGGGCAGTGTAGCTCCTGGTCCCTCTGTACCTCCACAGCCTGGCTGCTCTCAAAGCGTGCAAAAAAACTATTTAGCTCATCTGGGAGAGATGCGCACGCAGACACTCCCGCAGCACCCCCCGCTGCTCCTTTGTAGTCAGTCATTGTCCTTAGTCCCGCCCACATATTCCTAGTGTTACAGCCTTTGAAGTCAGATTCCACCTTCTCTTTGTACTGTCTCTTTGCATTTTTTATTGCTCTCCGGAGATCATACCTAGACTTCCTATACTCCTCCAAATCTCCCGCTGTGTGCGCGAGAGTGCGCGCTTTCAGTTTGCCGCGCACCTCACCGTTTACCCAGGGCTTTTGATTTGGGAATGTCCGTACAGAAACCTTCGGTACCACGTCATCGATGCATTTCCCAATGTAGCAGATGACAGTGTCCGTGTGTGTGTTGATGTTATTGTCCTCAAACACACTCCAATCCGTAGATGCAAAGCAATCCTGCAGTGCTGAATCTGACTCCTCGCTCCATCGTTGTACTGTCCTTGTTATCGGTCTGTCCCTTTTAAGTTTCTGCTTGTAAGCAGGCAACAACAGTAGTGAGATATGGTCTGATTTGCCGAAGGGAGGGCGAGGGAGAGCCTTATATCCATTCCGGAAAGGGGAATAAACATGGTCCAGTATGTTTCCCCCGCGCGTCGGGAAGTTGATGTGTTGGTAATATTTTGGCAAAACCTTCTTCATGTTGGCGGTGTTGAAATCTCCGGCCACAACGAACGCCGCATCTGGCCGTGAAGTCTCGGTTTTATCAATAAACCCAAACAGCTGATCGAGTGCCGTGTTGTTGTCGGCGAGTGGCTGCGGCGGGATATACACTGCTGTTATCACAACAGATGTGAATTCCCTCGGCAGATGGAAGGCCCGACATGAGATCATGAGGTGCTCTAGCTGTGCGGAACAGTCCGATGAAATAATCTTCACATCTGAGCACCAGTTGTTGTTAGTCATTACACACACACCGCCTCCCTTACTTTTCCCCGAGTTTGCAGTCCGGTCCTGACGAAAAATAGAGAATCCGTCAGGGACAATAGCGGAGTCCGGGATAGCGGGGTTGAGCCAAGTCTCAGTGAGAATTAACACGTTACAGTTCTTAATGTCCCGTTGAAAAGCAATCCGGCTTCTGAGTTCATCTAGCTTATTTTCAATGGATTGAACATTAGCCAGAAGAATACTCGGAAGAGGGGGCCGATTCTCACGTTTTCTTAGTCTGACCAGCACAAATGTTAGCACGTTACTAATATTACTATATTATATACATCTTAACTAAGATGTTAAACATGGTCAACATGATTACCATTTTCATGACAACATCAGCATGTTAACTTTGTTGTTGTGAGGATGTTAGCATGTTAGCCGTAACCATTCAGACTAACCTAGCGGCTAGCATAGCTGAGTATTGTTCCCCAGTGGGCCTCCTGTCTGAGCGCAGATGAATCATAGTCGATAAAGTAAATGTATAAATAAAATACATTAATTGTTTTAAAATAATGTTGAGCAGAGAAGCAAGTTTTCATTAAAAGAAATGACCAGACCCATAGGATGCCCTGTCATCATAACGGCTCTTGAATACAAGCTGTAAAGCATTACAGAATAATTGTTTTCCAGTACCAGTATCAAAGTGAGTGTGACTGCGCTATATTGCCATGGCTTCATGGTGTAATTGGATTTATTTTTATCACCTCATGTTTGAAAGTAACACCTGGTAGCACTTTTCCTCAGCACTGAGTGAGAGCAAGGGATGAATAGCACCTCATGATGATGTGACTCGTGCTGATAGAATATTGCTACAATATGTTATCATGGAGATGGTATTACTGAAACTGAACACAGATCAGGAAATGATGCAAAAGAGAAGATCATTAGTTTGTTGTCTCACATTATATCAGCATTTGTTTTTTCTCATCTACAGTACAAACAATAATTCATCCATTCATTTATCTTTGCCTCGATGAAATGACATACAATTATCTAAAGGGCAGGTGCATGGATTTGAATGGAGAATATTTTAAAAGAAAATAAGTATACAAGTGAGCAGGAAATAATTTGATGTTAAAGACACAGAAAGTTCACCTTTTGGTCAATGAGGGATTTAAAAGGGACATTTTTAGGAGAAATAAGAACTGCAACAAAGTCATTATAGTAAACCCAACGGGGGTTTTTAACAGTTATCAGAGGAGACAATGGCCATGAACTACATGGAACAGCTGTGTGTGTGTGTGTGTGTGTGTGTGTGTGTGTGTGTGTGTGTGTGTGTGTGTGTGTGTGTGTGTGTGTGTGTGTGTGTGTGTGTGTGTGTGTGTGTGTGTGTGTGTGTGTGTGTGTGTGTGTGTGTGTGTGTGTGTGTGTGTGTGTGTGTGTGTGTGTGTGTGTGTGTGTGTGTGTGTGTGTGTGTGTGTGTGTGTGTGTGTGTGTGTGTGTGTGTGTGTGTGTGTGTGTGTGTGTGTGTGGCCATATTAAGATGTTTTCCAGATTAACAAATAGAATAGTAAAAACAGACCATGTCACTGGATCCCAACATATTCTGCAGATCCCTATTAATGTTACATGTCAGGTCATGTGGAAATATGGTTAACTAATACATGTATGTGATTGTAAAAGTATTTTGGATGTGTCTTCTTTATGTGTCCTTTTATTTTACAGAAAGAAATGTTGTAATGGCTTCAAGTTTGTGCTGGGCCAGTGCATTCCTGAAGGTAGGGGAAACTGTTGGATGTCTAACTCGCATTTGTAATTATTTTGTAATTATCTTTCATCATTTCCCATCAGTGCTTTTATGTACTTTACTCAACTTGCCCTCACTGAATGTTCAACAAGATTGTTGCCTGTTACATTTGTTTTCTAGCTGATGAAATGCCTCATGTATTTCTGTAGACTATGATGTGTGTGCTGGCGCCCCCTGTGAGCAACAGTGCACCGACCACTTTGGTCGAGTGGTGTGCACCTGTTACCGCGGCTACCGCTATGACCGTGAGCGCCACAGGAATCGAGAGAAGCCCTACTGTCTGGGTGAGCGCCTCTACAACACCTCATGAATTAATCTTTAAAAACTAGTATATACGTAACATTCTCATATTTTAATTGTTTGAAAGTGTTAGGCCAATCTACATTCTGGCATTATCTAGATGTATGTTTTATATCAGTTCAAAGAGACCGGCACTCTTTATTCTTAGCAATCCTTAAGTACAGGAAGTCAAACTATTTACACAATTTCTATATTTGATTGTTCTAGTGTATCCGAATTTAAAAAACAGAGCTTGACAAAAAGCCGCTTCAAGTTTTCCCCAACACTGAATTAAAATAAACTGCAGCATAGTATTGCATGTTTTAGTTTTGCCGTTTTTAAAATAAAGTGCTCCATCGACAACACAATACATTAGGAGCAGTTATTTAAAGTTTATTTTGGCTTTAAATAATGCTTTTAATTATGCTCATATACAATTTATTCATGTTAGCCATGTCATTTTCTTCATGTACAATTTTCAATTTTGTACCCTTTGACATTAAACATCTCCCAGTGGACCACCTTGTACACATACAACCTAGATGGGTATTGTCTGTATCAAATTATTAAATGCAGCAGTCAATCATATACTTTGCAAACGTTATTTTGAGTGTAAAGGATAACAATATAGCTTTTCTGTACTTGTATATGTTACTGGATAAGTGCGTGTTAATTCACACAGCCTTTCTTTCATTTCTTTATCGTGTCTCTTCTGTTTCTTTCTGTCACTACAACATATAGACATCAACGAATGTGCAGATAAAAACATGACTACGTGCTCTCAGATCTGCCTGAATGCTGCGGGGAGCTACAGGTGTGAGTGTGAGACAGACTATTTCCTGGAAGAAGATGGGAAAACATGCACCAAGGGGGAGAGAGGTGAGAATACTATTTTTACTCAGACATTTTCTCTTTACTCAAGGGCACCTCTGACTGCGATGTGAAGCTGACCACACATTGTTATTTGGTGGGAGAAAAGGAGATGGGGGGTGCTGCAAACACAGACACCTGGTAGTCATTACACATCCCAGCTCCTTTTGCATTTCAGAACATGTCTGTCTCCCAAACACACCGCTGCCCCCCTGACTCCTGGTCTTTTTTGATTTGCTGGATGCATTTGAGGGAAACGTAACAAGCGATGATAAAGTCTTTTTTTGCCCCGGATTCAGCAGTGACGGGCTGCAGATTTGCTACTTCCTCCCATGAGTTTATCTTCCATTACCTACTAAAACATTACAGCAAAAGCTGGAGAATGAGAAACGATGGTTCATGTAGAAATGCTCCTGCTTTATGTCCCGCTGCTCTCTGGGAAAATAGTGTCCAGACATTGCATTCAATATATGCATTTGTAGAATAGGGCCCATTCTACCAGAGACAGAGAAAGCTCTGTGCTTTTCCTGTTGTGTTTCCTTTTACTCGATGGTGTAAGCTTACTGCTTAAATTGTAATATTTTCATTTAAATTCTGAGTAAAGAGTTGTAAGTATTAAATAAGTCAAAATGTTTAAATATTAGAATGTATTTATAAGAAAATATTGATACACTTCAGTATTTTGATATTATGTTTTATAATACTGTATCCATTCTCCAAAAACGATTTATTACAAGTTAACATGCAAATATTTGTGAATTTTTCATTCTGACAGTTGACATGACATCTTTACTCAAATTTGATAAAAGAAATTGACAATATATTTTACAGTAGTCAGACATAAGTCACCATGAGTCTGCAGAGGCTCTGACACATTTACTAGACAACCTTCCTGTCCAAGACGAGGTTTTAAAGGACCCGTAAAACTTTGGTCTCACAAATGACAAGTGTTACAGAGTCACCATTCTGTATAAACTACTCATTCACAAGTAAGCTAACAACCAATCAAACTGTCACCAAACTATCACTAACAGAGGAGTATTTTCTAAAAGATGTCTTATCTGGTAGCGTTAGTGACAGAAACATTTGTTCACCCAATTCCCAGCAGTGCATCTGTTTGAGAAGGCTGACAACGTAATGAATGCTGGAACTTGCTCAGCCACATGTGACGATTTCAACCAGATCAGGATGTCTGTCCTGCAGCTTAAACAGAAGGTAAGGGTCAGAATTTAGAACAAAAAACAATTATCTATGCAATTGACCTGTAATACTATACTTGTATCACAACCCTGCATCCTGAAATCCTGCAGCTTTTCTGGTTGACTGCAAAAAGCTCTTCTTGATTCAGCTGAATATCTGCAAAAATGTTCCGTTTCTTTTATGACCACCTAGGATCTTACTTTATCTCCAAGGTGTTTATACCTGACTGTATATCAGGAACAACAGCAGGCTTATTGTGAAAACGTCCTTGAGATTTATCTTAGCACTTGACTTCCTAATAATAAATGTCTGAAACAACTTCCTTTACTGTAGCTGGTAGATTCCTTCCATAAGTGGGAATTGGTGGGCAATTTGTGTGAAACTCAACAGTGCGGCTACGTTTCCCTGGGTGTAATCACAGCGTCTGAACCTATCTGAGCACGAGCCCGTCACCAGTGGCACTCAACACCTCGCTCTAACACATATATATATATATTGCTTCCAGCTGTGTGGTCTACGGGCTCATGCAGCTATACAGCTCATAATCTTTACTATATTAAGAAAACAAAATGTAAAAAAAACAAACTGTATATTATTACAGTATATGAGAGATTATATACTCAGTTACTCACATCATGGGAAGGTTAGAGTTTCAATGTAGGTTCACACTGAGGTTCAAACACCTGTGCCCAAGGTCACAGGCCACATACAGTCTTGCATAATGCTCACTGAGCAGCGTGTGTGTGTGTGTGTGTGTGTGTGTGTGTGTGTGTGTGTGTGTGTGTGTGTGTGTGTGTGTGTGTGTGTGTGTGTGTGTGTGTGTGTGTGTGTGTGTGTGTGTGTGTGTGTGTGTGTGTGTGTGTGTGTGTGTGTGGGTGTGTGTGTGTGTGTGTGTGTGTGTGTGTGTGTGTGTGTGTGTGTGTGTGTGTGTGTGTGTGTGTGTGTGTGTGTGTGTGTGTGTGTGTGTGTGTGTGTGTGTGTGTGTGTGTGTGTGTGTGTGTGTGTGGTGTTACACAGAGATCAAGGATGCTGTGTAGCATAGAGAGCAGGAACTGGTCTTGTGAATAATGCAGAGGGGTGGTCTGGCCCTCCACCTGTCTGGGTTAGAGCAGATGTAATCTTTGGACATGTATATCATTTTAACATAATTTGACTTGAAGTTGGACCTTCAGTGTGTAATTTTCCTGTCATGTTTGACACTGCAGAACTTGAGTTATTGTGTGTAAAAGCATTTTTTCATCCCATGACAGAATGTGTTTTTTTTTTTTGTCTAAGCTCTATTTATTATTTCACTCATTCAGTTATTTGTAATTATCCTGTTCATTCAATCATTTTGTGTTTTGCATCCTTATTCAAGATGGCTGTGCTGTCAAACAGTGCTGACATCCCTGAGCAGATGACCAGCGAGAAAATTGGGACATCGCCCATATTTCTACCAGGGCCGCCAGGTTTCCCTGGACCTCCAGGTAAACACATGGAGCTAAAGATAATACAACTGTGTCAGACTGCCTAAAGGAAGTGGCCTGCATCCAGCACGTCTCCAAGAGTGTCTCAGGCAATGCTAACGGCTCTGTGGGGATGGGCTTTAAGCTACATTCTCACCTCAACATGCCTACAGGGCCAATGACGAGGTTTAACACTTGGTCAGTTCAAGGCATCTCTAGAGCAAGAAGCATTTATCCATTTTGCAAAAATCATCATAAATGCAGTGTCTTTTGTGATCAGTTGTTTTTCTTTATCTGTATTGTTAAAGGTGAGCCAGGACCAGAGGGCCCTCCTGGACTTACAGGACTGCTGGGGCCTCCTGGGCCTCATGGTCCCAGGGGCTTGATGGGACCCATTGGACCCACACCAGACCTGTCACACATCAAACGGGGCCTCAGAGGACCTGTGGTCAGTTAATAAATACACACTTTGCAGTTGCTATGAATGATTGTGTTTTATCATCTCTGTATCCCAGATACAAAAGATTCCATTTCTCAGCTCTTTAGATTGTATATCATTTGTAACATTTCTCAGATTTAACAGTACAGGCTTCAGAAGTACCAGGTACTGTATGAATGTGTGTGTGAGACAGGAACCTCCCACACACACAGAGCTATGCTTGATCACCTTTGCTATAATGTTTCATTTTGTTATTACTCATTTAATTTGAATGAGAGCACGCGTCTTCTTTACTTTCATCTAAGTGTCAGACTTATTATTTGTTCAACCAAAGATCATCCAGGTAATTTAGTAAACCCGCATTATGACAGGAGACAGCCCCAGGAGAGCTGTGATTGATTTGTCTTTATAAAAGGAGGAATTTAGAGCAACCAAATATATTTTGTTTTTCAACTGACACATTTCAAAGAGATGAGAAAAGACCCTTCCCTTCAGCCAGCCTCTTAAAGCAAAGCACACTTCTGCACTGTGAAAGAGGATGACACACTGTAATGGCAAAAATAACAAAGGGCAGAATCCATTTACAGCTTTAGTTGTTTTCTTTGGCTTGCTGCCTTATTGTGCAGCGCTCTGTCTTTGCCTGCGTGTTAAAGTGTGGGATCTGAGTCAAGAATGTGCTGGATGTGAACATAAAGACATATTTGAGTTAAAAGTTATGTAATCTGCTTATTGATAAATCAGGCTGTCAACACAATTAGTTTCTGTACATCACCATCTGCACGCTGCCAAACCAAGAGGTGAGGAACGCTGTTTTATAGTGGTATGTGATCTATTGCTTTCTGTGTCCGTGTGACATTTCGATGTGTGTCTTAATACACAACTCTTTATGTTCATGACCCAGTAATATATTGAATCAGTGCACATGTTTGTGAGCTCTGACTCAAAGGGAGTTGTCCTTCTCTCCACACAGAAACCTGATTAGATTCTGAACACAGTTGTGAGGTTTGGCCACCGGGTCACATGTGTTCCTCTGCATGTCAGGGCTTCAGAGATGATGAATGGGGTTTAGTGTGTGACTCACAGGCTTGGTACTGATCTGAATATTGGCCCTGCTCCCTATACAATGTCTTCACACTGCTTTAATGATGATTATTCTAGGAAAGAGATCAAAGCACTGCCTACTATTGAGAAGATCTCAAGAAAGCCTTGAGGCAGGCACAAAGTTCATCTTGGATGATCGTTGATGGTCGAGATGTCAGTTTTGAATTTAAAGAGATTTGGAATAAATGAGTTTTAGTGAAAATATTGAACTAAACATTAACACATTTCTGGGTGTAAGGTCAGGCTGCCATCAGATAGATAGTCACATGAAAATGTATATTAATGCGCTTCTCCGTATCCTGTTGTATGTTTTAGAAATGTGAAAATAAACTATAATACGTTTTTCAAATGGATAAGAAATGCAGATTGTTTGTTTCTTTGATCTAACAGGGGCTTCCAGGAGCGCCAGGAAAGGATGGCCGAAAGGTGAGGTCAGATTCTACTTAGTCACCTTATCTTTTCCCATCTGTGTAACACAACCTTACTATAGGCAACTTTCTAGAAAAGAGCCTCTTTTTCTGTTGCGTATTATCAAACCGTGGTCCAGCATGTCGCCCCTCAGGCATAAAACTCATTCACCTTGGCAACAGAATTTGAGTCTTGGCTTACAGAACAAGGCCTCTCTTAAAGGGAAGTACCAACTAGATACATTTGAATCATCTGCCAACACAATGTCTGTCAAAATATATTTCTCAATAGCCAATATCTTCACATTTCTACAGGGGGAAAACCAGAAAGCAGGTGCCAGGATCCTCACAAATCCTCAGTTTATCCCTGCAGATGTTAGGATCACTGCAAGTTACTGCAAGTCCAGAGAGGGAGATTGGTGTGCCCAAACGCAATAGGCACACGTTAGAGACTCTTGTTGGGAAGGAGCATGATTTGGTTGCTTCTCAATGTGAGTCGACATGTATCGGTTCAAATAATTGTACCTGGTACAACACTTTTTCAGATTTAAGATTACAGATTATATCAGAAGATCACTGTTTGTTTAGAGTGTTTTAATCTCCCATTCTCAGATTCAGAATCAACCCAATTCACAAGAAGCTTGCTGCTGACCACCAGTGTGGAGATTGTTGCTTCCTCTGGGCTGGGGGTGGTTGTCTGGATAATCACATGGATTATAGGAACAGGGCGTTTGGATCAGCTGATGATAGGTAGCAACAATATTTCAAAAGGATAACTGGAATGCTTTTCTCTGCTTTGCCTCCCCGGGAAGCCTCGGGCAAAGTGTTAAAAAGGAGGCCCCAGCAGATGGTTAAGCCTCAGATTAAGGAGGCACAATGTAGAATCCAGCGTGGTTACATTGAGATTTGTGTTTACATTTTTCACATGTTTTTGGATTAATCCAGATTTGCTCGCACACTAATTTCTCATTTAGCTATTTTCCTAGAAAAGAGCAGCTGAGGTCAGAAAGATACAATGGCATATTTGCTGTTCTCAAGATATCTGCAGCGTGCTTTGGAGCTGAGTTTGACTCTCCTCATTTAGAAATGGAGTACTAATGAAGACGTTTAAGTTATATTTATCAACTCAAAACATCCTAAGAGATTGTGGCAACAAAAGTAGAAAGGTGAGCTTCTTTTTGAAAAAAAAGTCTACTTCCTTTGAATGGCTTTTAATGGGAAGTTGCAGTTCTGCTCAGTTTTAGTTGATTCTGACGAGTGACATCCTGCTGGATCACAGCCAGTGAAATTAGTATGCAGCTAAGAAACGGTAGAGGTGAAGACATGATCATACCGTTGATCAACAAAATAATAAGAATGTAAATCATATAATGCCTATTTTTTGGGAATGTAATTTGAAAACTGTGGTTGATTTAATACAGCATTACAGGATTATAATAATTTGGTCAATAATAAATCTAGAATGCCCGGTAATCCATGTCACACTGATTTAGAGAAGTGAAAGGTGAAATAGCTGATGAGATTCTGGTGTTATACCCTCAACGCTGTTTGCTTAGCTTGTGGATCACGTATGGAACAACTTAGGTGCATCCAGTTTATTGACATAGTACCTTGGTATTCTTTCAGTACAGCGTGGATGTTTGTGTGGATAGATTGGAGGTTGATGGTAATCTGTCTCTGAGACACAAATCCAAACCATCTGCCAAAACACTCACAGCCCCAGTGTGACCCTGAGCCCTCTAACAACCAGCGGTCAGGTCAATGGGTATGTGTGTGAGAGTGTGTGTGTGCTACCGTAGGTCAACAGGCTGCCATGATACTTCACATGTTCATGTACAGCATGTTTAGTGTTAAATGAAATCACTTCATCATGTTCACGTTGAAATTTCACACATTTTAGAATTATTTCCACGTTTTGGGAAATACACTTATTAGCTTTCTCTGCAAGGGAGTCAACACCATGGTAACCTCTGTATGAAACTAGAGCATATATTCAATCATAATATTTTTTATGATAATGCTAAGCTAAAATATATTAGAGCTTAGCAAACCATTAACACTGGATTCAATGGGAAACGAGCGAGGCTCTTTCCAAATAAAATACACCTACCAGCCCCTCTAAAGCTCACTAATTAACATGTTGTATCACATTTGTGTAATCCGAACACAAAACTATATGCATTCAGTTAAACTGTTAACAAGCCACAACATGTTAATTAGTGAGCTTTATAGGTGATGATTTGGTGTGTTTTTAAACGTCAGAGCTGGGATTTCTCTGCCTTCCCCTGGACTCATAACCTGACGCGCCAGATGGTTTGTTACACAGAACCATCTGAGAGGCAGATTGGAAACTTTCTAGAAAAAAGGGCTAGAACTTTTGAAAAATACATCCAAATCCAAATAGCTGTATGGATGAAATATCTGTCAATCAGGTCAGGACAGAGTGAGAAAAAGTGTATGCCCCTTCACACACACTGTTGCTGATATGCAAAGTTTAAAAGATAAAAGTAATTGTTGTACTTGTTGCTCAGACTATTAATTTTAATTGTTTTAAAATGCCACATTCTAAACATAACAGCACTGTATCCCCATGTTCAAAGATAAACGGCTCTGATTGGCCTGTCCGAATACAGGACCCCTAAGGGCCGAAGGTTTGTTAGCGGCACTTCTTGCTGACTCTCTTGCTACCTTTCCCCTAGTTCTTTTGAAAATGTTCCCGGACAAGCATTATATGAATTATTTATGTTTTCCCCCCCTCACTGTATTTCGTGTAAGCTAAATAATTGTTTTGTTTCCCCAGGGGGATAGAGGAGCTTCTGGGCCTGTCGGACCACCGGTAAGACTCTTCCTATCTATATTGATGCTTCACCATTGTAACTTGTTACCATTATCCAGAACAATACAGTTTAACAAAAGCATGACTGAAAAACAGACCACTGTGGACTCTGGACATTAAGCACCACAGCTAATGATACTGTCAAACTCAAAGTAAATAGTATCCAGTACAGTGTAAGCATTATCCCCTTAGATAAACACTGATGGTGCTAACGTTAACAAATCATGAGGAACAGCTCAGTAGCCAGTGGCCACTTGCAGACAGTCCATTGGTCAGCTGGAGTTTTGTTGGGAACATCTCTGTGGTTTCTCAGTAAATACAGACGCAGAAGAAATCTTTCCATTAAATATGAGAGTAACTTTAATTATATTTACACAAATACTTAGTTGTAAATATAAGATAAATATTTGTAAAATTATAAGTTTTTGTTGTCCTCAATCCCCAGGGTCCTCCGGGCTCCTTTGATTTCCTGCTGCTGCTGATGGCAGACATCCGTAACGATATCGCTGACCTGCAGAACAAAATGTACGGGCGCCCGTTGCCCTCTCCGGGGGAGGACTTTCCTGGAGTCCCCGACAGCTGGAGGGACACCCAGGACAATTTGGAGACCGGCTCAGGTGAGGACTACAAGGAACCTGCACCTCGAACAGGCGGAGGATCAAAGAGAGACAGGAAGTGGAAACCAGCGCGAGAGAGAACAGACTTTAACTGGAATATTTAAAAGGGTTTGGGTTTATATATGATACGGTCAGGTGTAAATATTTAAGTGTTTATGCTTTTTTATTTAAACAGAGTGTACTGTATGCCTTTTTATCACAGATGTTTATTTTTATATGATATACATAAGAGTTTGTGTGACTATTTTTTAACAAAATTAGTTGAATGTGCAAATGCATGAAACACATGTTTCCTTCACGGCGCATTAAACAAGTCTCCTTTTAATCCGATGTTACGTCTTTAGTTTATGTAAGTACATTTTTCTCTTTCCCACAATTTGTATAAGAAATAGAGCCACCAAATATCTAAATAATAACACATATAATGAAAGATTCCTTTGCCACATGGTCACCAAAGTAAATATTGAACTCATTTTTCCCAAGATACACGTTTTTCAGTATATACATAAAGATGTTGGATCGTTGTTTGGTTCTCAGTTGTTGCATAGTTCTCCACCAGAGGGAGACATACTCAAAGCCACTTACAAATGTCTGGGCTTCCAGTTTCTTTGCTCATGGCTGACCAATCACACAACACATCACAATATAATGAATGCGCCTGATATAAAAAGGCCACTCAAGTTCAAACTGTCAGCTAATGACTCGGAGAATGTGAGTACATCATATGGTCTGTCAGTGAATGAACTTATCTGAGAAAACCTTTATATAATCACTGTGAGGAAGGTATGAAATCATGTTTATCTCTCAACATTCAGCTTATCCTGCAGCTACATGACATGCTTTACCTCTTTGTAGTTTTAATTATAAAGCTGTGTTACAGCTTTATGTGTTCCCTGTGCTGTTCTCTCCCTGCTCCAGTAGCTCTGGTTTCAGGTGTGCTGCATTGCTCAGCTAGGTGCACCTGAGCTGGGAAGGCGTCTGCCGTATGTATGTCTTTTATATTAATAAATCCTATGGATTTAATAGTTTTAAAGGCGTCTTCTGTGTTTGATTTGGGTCCCCGTAGTATAGGGTTTAGCAAGCTAAAGCTTAAAATGCACTCCTGTGCACACAAAAGTATAGCACTTGTTTACCTACTCAAGGGACTGAGTTATGATGACTTTTACTTCACTTTTGATACTGTTAATACTTCTATACTTACTTTAGAAAATGATCAGAGAACTTCTTCCACCACTCTTCAGTGCCCCAACTGTCATTCAGTACCACTCTAAATCCACTAGGTGGCAGTCATTTCTCAGTCAGTATGAGCACTGTGTGATTCATTCCCTCTGATTGATGCACAGCACTCAGTGTTCAGTGAACTCATTAAACTGTGCAGTGTAGTTCACAGAGGAGCACGTGACGATAATCAAAACACAATTATGAATAAAGCTTTGTGGAGATGTTCACCCAGCGTGGATAATCTGTGTTTTCTTGTTTATTTTCAGACTCATTGACTGAAATTAGATGTTCTTACTCAACAATATTTGATGTCTTTCCGCTAAAAGATTGTTTGACAACAAGGCAGGCTGCCACCAGCGATGAGACTAACTCAAAAAGCCCAAATGAATACACTTGGCCTGTCTCTGTCTGAGTAATTGTTGTAAAATGGTGAACCTGTTGCATTTCGTTCCTGGAAGAAAGCATTACATTAGAACATGAGATTCAAGCAACATATTTGCATATGTGTTCAACTAAATACTGTGTCTTCATATAAATCAATATGATCACATATCCAGGAATCATTTCATTCACAACACAAACAAAAACCATTTGTTAATTTATTCTAGCGCCACCTTCATTTAAAACGTAGTCATTGTTAACATGATGCGTATTGGTTTCACAATGAGCCCATTTCCAGAGAACAGTACATGTCATGGTTAAAGAGGGGCCGAAATGAAAGTCCTGTGCACATCCTTTTAACAAGCTTCAGTCGTCTCGCCCGAGCAAAGACAGAAAAAAAAACCTGGCATTATTTTTATCCAAAATCCCTTGTGGAAGTAATTAATCACCATCATACAAGGGAGAGCCTTAAAAGATTTCTAATATTTGCTGAAGTGCCCCCTTGTTCCTAATTATATCTCCCTGCTTGTCCCCCTCATTATTTAGAACTACCCACAAAAAGATGCAACACTGAATGGGGACACCCCCAGTCCCCTTTCCAAAGAAAATGTTTAATAGCAAATGAATGAGTGAGTTACTGTGCTGCGATAAAAGCCTTAATGAGGTAATTTTATTAGTAGCGGCTGCCCAGAACTGATGGAGACCGATGGAGGAAACAAACAGATTGAGGCAGCAAAGGGAAAATGAGTGTTGCCCAATTCATTCATTAATGCATTAGTGTGGGCAGCAAATTAACTGCCCCAAAAATCCCCCATTCAGTGAAGATTATGATGAACAAAATACATTGTTGCCCTCCGACGTAATTACAAGACACTGCAAATTCAATTCTAATGAGGCGAAAGGCACCCCCTTAACATACATCCCCTATTTCCCCTCTAAAAGGGCTTACCCTTGTTGAGGCCTAAGTTTAAGGAAGTATTGAAAGTGAAGGAGACAATAATGAGAGATCGGCCTGGCCTTAAGTGCTTTCTATGCTGCAAGCAGGTAGAGAGGATTGAATGGCTCTCTTTCTGGGACTCCTGGGGGGCCTGTCTTCCCAGCACAACAACACTTGGCCCTGAGAAAAGGGCCCGCTGAGGAGCTTGGAGAGTGAATGGACCTGTGCTGCAGCGGGTCAAAGTGAATGGCCACAAGTTCTTCAATGATTACAAACTATGTTGTGCCAGCCCAGCTACACACATGTACACACAGAAACACCCGGAGACGGCCCTCACCCTTCCACCTCTCCCTCTCATTGAGTTATCGTTACTCAGGCTTTGTCTCCACTAATTGGAGCTGATGAGGGACTAATTGGTAGCTTTTTTACAACACCCAGTACTTAAGCAATGGCAAGCCGAGGGAGGCAGCATGAGCAGAGTTAATGAGAGGCTTTGCACAAATAAAAGCTTTAAAATGGGCCTGTTTCACAGAATGGGAGAAAAGGAAAGTTGAGAATATCTTTTGTGTGCTCTACATCTTTCACTTATGTGCAGGTATCTGAAAAGAAGAGGGAGTGGTGGAGGGCACACAGTGGTTGCCGAAACGTTGAGCACTTGTCCGCATAAAGGGATCTGTTCGGTATTGTTTGGGGCCCATCGTTTAGTGTGTCTGTTAATAATGAGAGAGGGCCGCTCTTCAAATGAATGTGGCAAAGTCCTCAGTGGAAAATAAGTGCCCTCTCTTGGCTGGACCACACTGGACCGTGTTGAAGCAATCTGAAATAAAGGTTTAGTCCTTCGCCATTGTTGAGGGTGAGTGTGTGGCCTATGTGCACAGAATTGAGCCAACAAATAATATAGCAGTGAAGCCAGTCAACACTGTTCTGATGTGGATTCTTCATTAAATATTAGTTTGGAATAATCGTTATCACAATATGGTTTTAGCTTAAATAAATGGTGCTTGTCTCGTCTTTGATTCACTTCAATTGTATGTGTTTTGCATCAATCCAGAAGGAAATCAAGCGCGCCAGATGGTAAAATAAACGTAAGAATCACACCCTCCTCATCCTCCTCTGCAGGCCAGCTCGAGATTTGCATCATGGTTGTAAACTTAAGACCACAGGATATTTCCTTAGGATGCAGTCGTCTCAGCAGACATTTTGTTCATGTGATAATTGGTTGCTTTGTGCTTTTCAGGTATGAATAAACACCATGAGGCAACAAGCTTCATTAAACTAAGCCCTGCTGTCACACCAGGAGGTGACAGGCCACTCTCCCTTTCCCCCTAATGCGACATGGGTAATACAAACATCTTTAGATCCCCCAGGAACAAGAAACCCCATGTACAACACAACTCTTCTTTGTTCTGTCCCATAAGCCCAGTTTAGGATCTCTAAATGTTGACTCATTCAAATGAAGGCTTAAATACACACAGCGAGCGGAGGTGACTTAGACAATCTTAAGTCACAAGCGTTATTATGGTCAAATATATACAGTAACGGCAGTTAAATATAGATCAACTTCAAATAAAGTGTTATTTTCAGGCTCCAGCAATATTTACTACAGCATCCCATAATTCACTGGCCAAATATTTGCACTGACTCATGTGATAGGCTATTCACAGTCTCAGTGACCCATTAACATCCTACAGGTTCCCATTGTCCACCACTAAATGGATACATTAGCATTGCTTTTGTCATTTAAATCCTACATTTCCTTACAAAGAGTGTGGGTTAACTCTCTAATGAGGACTTCCTCGGACAAAGGACAGAGGCGTCTATTTTCTCTACTCTCTAAATCCACTCGTAGCTTGTTAGTTTTCAAGAGTTTTAAATGTTACATAGAGTTAGCATGTCCTTTATAAGGGAATTCACTCTACTTCAAATACTTTACTTTTATTCCTATTCTATCTTTATTTACATTACTCGTAAATGCACTTAGAGAACGTTAAGAACAAATATTTTCCTCAAATATTTATTTTCAAAGTTGCAATTAAGCTCCTCTAATATATGCTGAACGGTCACTGTGTGCCCAACATGAAACCAGAAGAGAAAGCAGACATTCCTGTCATAAAACTGATTTTATTTAGGATCACCCTTAGATTCATTATGATATTAACTTCTTCTGCACAGAGAGGGACACATTTGTTGTGACAGATATTTTTTGTGTCTGCGCACAATCAAAACTTAAGTTTTACTAGTTTGTGGAAAAATAATTAAAGTTTCAATTTTTGTGTATTTTTTGGAAAGTTCTCATTGATCTTTATTCAATGTGGATTCACTATACTGACTAACCCCTTATAAAGTATAACACAACTGTGTAAATGATGTAAGTGTAGTTCTGTACTTCCCAGGGTTGTTCATCTTAATAAGAGAGATGTTTAAGTGGTGATAGGATTGGAACTATTTTGGATAACTGCTAACTCAATTGTGCAGTTTGGAACAGTGAAATGATTATCACATTTTTTTGGAAGTGAAAATGCACTCAAACAGTAAATGGAATCCCTAAAGTAAGACATTGTTTCCTAAATTACTGCAGCATGAAACCTGAAGACTGTAAACCTGTGCACAGTCCTTCCCACTTGCTGATCACTTATATCCAAAATCCCTAGATTAGTGTCACTACAATGGCCTGTTTGTTCTGTGGTTTGTTCCTGAACCCGTAATCACAGAGAAGCTGCACCTCCAGAAGCAATAGGAAGAAGCTGGCTGAAAGTAAATAGAAAGCGAGTGACACATAATTGTGTCATCTCCCGTCTCCTGCTGAGGCTTTCAGACTGCAGTGAAAGCTCCAGCAGCCAGCACAGCTACGTCACTTAACCTCTCTCTGACCTCACACAGGCTGACGAGCCGCTCCGTGTTACAGTGGGATGGTCTGATTGCTAATTCAGCTAATTTGTACTGTAGATCATGTGTGTCCGGTGCAATCTGTGCATGATTCAGCAATGATAAAGATATGTTTCATATGCCTTACTTGTTCAAATTCTTCTCATTCCATTCTAACTTTGTTTGTTTGTCTCATTGAAGTAACATAAGAAATAAAGGCAGTAAATTACCAGTGTCAAATAGTGTAAAGGAATTCAAGCCAATATGCCATATTAACATTGAAATTTGAGTTAAAAAGTATGATAATGGTATATGGGCAATATTTACATCTTTAAGATGAATGCATAACATCGAAACGTGTCTAATAAATATCCAATAAATATGTTTTATTAAGTAATGAGCATTAGATTAGTATTAACATTAGGTATCAGCAGTTTGGTTTGTGGGGGGAACACACATATTGTTAACTTGTTTGCTAAGTATCAGTTCCTCCCCTCCAGGCACAAGCTTTCCTTTACAAACCCTTATCAACACCACCCAGGCAGACATATGTGTCCTTCTTGTGATGTTTCACTGGTATTTGTTGTTTAATGTGTGCTTTATTCTGATGTATATGGGTTATTGACCATGTACAGAAATGTTAAACGCAAATTGGGAAATTGTGCAGTATAATCAATCATTAAAAGACAAAACAACATTATTTGCAAGCCTACTTTGTATGCATATTCCCTTGATATACAGTATGTTACATCTGTTCATGTCAATAATATTTATCTTCCTGACAACGTTACCTGTCTACAGGTTTAGGAGGGTATTCTGTTATGATTACTTAATACCTGTATACAAATGTAATCAGTAGCATACTCAAAGTGTTTACAATATAAAAGTAATTGAACCTGATCCCTTTCTGTTTACTTTTGGATAAAAAATGCGACCTCATCAGCATATGATATTTTTCTTTTCATTTAAAACAGCGTATTTGTGACGGTACCCACAGTATTATATATATAAATCAGGTGTGCACCTACTAAACT